TGTTGTTGTGGTCATGCTATTTTCATGCAATATGAGACGATCGGGAAGCTGTGTCGACTGCGCAATAGAAATTTGTGCAGAATTGTTCTACATTGCAAAACTTTCAAATGTTTTTTTAGTATACGTGTAAAGTCGTGGATAGAATGCTGTTGGCGGCTTTACGTATTTTCTGTAATGTTCTATGGAATGCAAGTAGTAGCTGAGTGGAGTCTTGGACAGCCGTCGCGGCGGGTTGTCAACATCACTTACATTTTTTCTATGGTAAATCTTTTTCTTTCTTTTCTAATTACTGTCCTATCCTAAGCGGAGAATGATGCTTAGTTTCACTCCGGATGGAGTAAAACGTTATCACTTGAGGAATAGAATAGCAATAGATTCAAAAAGCCTCCTGAAAGTTAGCAGTACTCTATTATCTGACCTACTGAACACTTACAATTTAGATGTCGTTTCTTTCGTTCACACTTGCTTGCTTCCTATGCGTACAATTGTTTTCCCTTGTTGCATGGGCTGCAAACGCCCCGCATTTTTCTCTCGGTGAGTATTTCTTTGTGTAGTAATTCTTCTCTGCTTACTTTTTCCTATTCGCATGCCTGATTGGAGCGTTCTGCTTCTGTGCTTCTGCATATCTTGTGTCGTAGGACACAGAAATACATGAAAAATAAATATAAGGAGTTTTCGTGGAATATCCCCTCCCCCAGTATCGAGGTGCTGAGACATATATTGATTTTCTTTTAAGTTGACATCATTTAGGTGAGAATCCTTGGTGTGGGGTTCAACCATGCTTGACCACTTCGGTCAATAGGTCAGGCCTGTTGTTCTTTATTCTCGCCAATTTCTTCACTGGCCTCGTTAACTTTGCGATCGACACACACCATACAGATGACGTGACGGCGATGTTTATCCTCGTTTGCTACTCACTTGGCCTCTGTGCCATAGTTCAATTTCGCGATTTCATGAAGATGAAAAGAATTTTCTAAAGTTCAGTGGAGTGAAAATCATTAGGTTTAGTAGCAGCTTCTTGCCCGTTTTCTACACCATTTCGGGAAAACCAACGGTTTATGTATATTGATTCCTTACACGCGTAATTTGAACTAGAAGTTCTTTCATTCCCGTTCTAGCTCCTACAGTAACTAGCATCTAGAAATTCATCACTCAAGTGCCATATAATATTCGGCTAATCAAGCATTCTTCTTGTGATGAAGCCCATGCATGTACCTCTAGCAATTTTCGATTAGACAATCTGTGATATTTCTCTTCTTCTGTGAGTTCTTTCGAGTGATTTTTAATAATCTAACCAAAGTTGCTATAATATTTCAACATCGGAACTGATACAACGATCTCTGGTAGTGGGTCATTATTATGGTGTCTTTTTGCGACTGTCGCTTGTTCTTGCCATGCTCATCGTAATTTTCTTCTGGGTTTATGAAATGTGGTATTTCCCGTTAATTCTGTTATCGTACATTTTTATACTACTTATCGATATCGTTCTATAACTACTGTCGAAATTACTGTCTGCTTCCCTTTTTGAGTATAATAGCTACTAGCGATGAAATGTTTACAAAAATGTCAATCGAACGCTTTCCCAGTGATTGCAAAGTGACCTAAAACGCAGTCTCGGTGTCAAAGAACTCGGCCGGCGCAAAAACACACATTTTCCATAATACAAGCTGTAAAAAAAGGGTTTAAAAGCATACCGTACAACTGTAAAAAAAGAGTTTAAAAGCATACCGTACAACTCTTCTCTTGGTTTCCGATTCAACATTTCATTTTTGTGAAGTTTTCTACATGGCTTGATCTCAAGCGTGATTGATTTGTGTATGATGAGCAAAACAGAAGTAATTTATTATAATAAATAAATCATGCTATGGACAAGTACTGCCGCCATCGGCTTCAATGAACACGTTCAACTTACGATTACACGGTATCGAAAAAAGTATCAGAGGAACTGATGAATAAGCAAGAAGATCAAAGTGAGGCCTTCATGATTTGGTGAGAATCTCACGGGCGTTTTCACTGACAATATTCTCCATAGCCATAACGTCTTTGCTCCAGGCCGCTATACGATTCGCCATGGCAAGCACCTGAAATAGAGGATTTTTAGTTAAAAAAAGGATGGGTATTCAGCGTAGACGTCTATCACCTGAGTTGTGTTTAGCACCCTAGGTTGCACCCATGTGATCAGAACTGTTCGATTCACTTGATCGATCGCACCTCGAACCAAATCTTTGCTCAGTGCTTTCATCACCAGGAACTCAACCTAAAAATTTTTGTTTTAACGAGCACTGACTGTCTATTTTTCTTTGGCAAACTTCGAGACTTTACAGAATGAAAACTAAGTGGTACTGCTTGAAGCATAACTGTAGCAGCAACAAACCTCATTATTAGGCACCTGACATTTTGCTGCAATTTCCGTGAAAGTGATCTTACGTTCTTTCGACGGGCGAGCCAGTGCAAGCTGAAGGTTCACTATGATACTTTAGTTACCGATTACCAGAGGTCCTACCAGACCGGACCATGCCAAAAGTCAAGATCAAATAAGAAACCGTAGAAATTAGATCGTGTCCGCATTAAGCATTACCTCCATGATTGCAAGAAGTCGAATCTTGCCTACGAGGAAATCCTTCTTCCTCTTCAGGTCGTCCCATTCTGACCAGTGTTTCTCCAGGGAGTAGAATTTATTGAGATCTCCACAGTTGAAGGCGTACAGAACCTGAAAAGAAGTCTCATTAGTGGGGCAGAATTCTATGAAAATTACAATCACTGACGTATTGGCAGCATTTAGTCAGTTCTGCATTCTGTCATTACAAGTTTATGAGATGACAATTGGACAAGAACAAAATGAGCTTACCTCAGACAACCACTTCTCGCTGGATCCTTCCAAAGCTTTCAAAATTGGATGTGCCAGCTGAAATGAATTACACTGGATTGCATTATTCAATAGAAAGCTCTCAAAATTCGATAAAGTAGAGCTTGTAGTGGATAAAATTTCCGAACGTTTAATGGTAAAAACTTGCTAGACCAATTCAACAACATACGTCCAAAACTTTCATGAATTGGATGTCGAAACTTACCAATTCCCCGAAATTGTAGACGTTGTCACCGAGTAGGGCAGCGAATCCAATCAACACAGCCTAGGCATCAAATATAAAATAAGGCAGCAGCCTGGAAAACCGTTCCCTCTTACCTGAACATGCTTCTCTTCGGCAGACATTTTATTGATATCTTCAACACCAAGATAACGAAGAGCTTCTCGATAATAGCCAGCAAAATCACCTATCTCTTTCAGATACATGGCACTAACCTAAACAATAGAAAGGCTTGTGTACTGTTCTTGATTACGAAATGCTTCAGACCATACCTTGTAGAAAGGAGCATGAGCCTCAGTGACACCAACGAAACCCTCTATCTCCTTCTGAGTCAATTCGATGAGATCCTAGAAAAATTGAAATTACAAAAGAATTGTAAAAGGACCACAACCCCCGCAACTAACCTGAGTGGACAAACTACCTACCCGCACTTTTTTGATATCAACGAGACGGTCGTTCCCATCTTTGTGGTTAAGCCGTAGTTCAATTTGGCCTGCATGGATGCGCGCAAGAGCAACCTGAATTATGAAGTTATAGGAACATTTGATCACCTTGGTTCAAAGGAATGTATTTTGTATTCAGTTTCATCCCCTGAACTATACTCTGAAAAAGACTATAGTCACTTGTGGAAGAGTGCCCAGTGCTAGTGGCGAAACAACTAAATTGGGCCATGTATTACAATTCCATCGCGAATGCTCCATATTGAAAACCATTCAACCATCAACCATACCATAACCATCCATAGTAGACGACATCTGCATAACCATAGGATACCATAACCATACCACAGTTTGCACTAGCTTTCAATAGTGACAACGAAGATTTTCATATTCCCAGACATGAGTCTGGTACCAATTCACCGACCCCGAAGGGATGGAAGGCTTGGTTAGCCTAGTGCAAAGAATCAAACAAGTAAGATCATAAATCTGAATACTTCAAGGAAAGTAACACAAATCAGATTTTAAAAAACTAACACAATATCTATGATTACCAATAAAATATAAAATTCAGCGCAACAATGAAAATGTTATGCCAAATGAATAACCGGAACAGCAGAGTGAATTAGCAACATTGTAGATAAAAAAAAAGATTGATCCACTTCAACGATAGCACGGTATGATTCATGGGTCGTCTCATTGAAATGACATCAACATATAAAAATATAAAAAATGGAATCATCATTCACATTTATTAGCCAAGTTGATAAGAAGGTAAAGTTGTTCTCACGAGCGGGAACGAGATTGGACATTCATTGAAGGAGCAGAACTTTAAAGACATAAACCAATGAACTACTAAACAACACTAAAAAATTTGAAGGTGAAGAACGCTCGTGTAACTTTTCTTGAGCGGAGTTCAATGAACTCTCAGGCTAAGAATATAACGAACTGAAAAAAGCCAGAAACACAATATAAGTAGATTTAACTGATCTGCTCACCGCCCCAATACTTCTACCAAACAGCAAAAAGGCCTTAGGAACTTGAGTAATTTAGCGTACTCGCAGCTCAAGGTGGACTTACTTTAATACTTCAACCAATCAAAATCTTATGTGAACCCCGAATTAAGGGCAAAACCCATGAAAAGATTGTGGCTTGCGAAGGACACCCATGAAATATCCATGAATACTCAACGAACTCATCCCTCCATAACTATGAACGATGGCATCCTTACGTAGTTTCTCACACGGCCCCAACAAAATACAAGACAAAGGAAAGTGGAAAATTGGCCATTTTCACTCAATCTAAAAGCCCCTTTTTTAACTAACACCGGCATCCCTCCAAGAATGGTACGGAGCTGAAACTGTTAGAACGAAAAGGAATTTTAACCACCAAATCACTAGCCGAGCTGCCTAGAATCCCAAGTCTCTTTTAGAAAAGATCAAATTATAANCTGCTCAGGGCACTGCAAGACGAGCATGATTCAGCTCTCAGGCAGTGGCATCGCTGAACGCAAACACAAAGAAGTGGAATCCACGAAACAGATCAAATAGGCACCGATCAGTAAATTTGCAACACTCTATTTACCACAAAACGTGGAGTGAATGGAGTCAACCAATCGATACGTATAAAGCCATTTCGTGGATACTTTGAACAGTACCTCAGTGTGAATAGGACGATGAAGTCGATCGGTAGTGGCGCCTGTGACTACGCGATCGTGAGCGCGAACGACTACGAGAACGCGACCTTCTTGAAGATCTGTACGAGCGTGAAGGAGTACGTGAACGTGATCTTACTCGGGTACGATTGAACCGATCAACTCGAGGTAAAGCGTGACCAACTCGAATCCGATGATTGTCGAGGTACGTATCATCCATCATCCTTATGGCTTCCTCAGCATCTTTCTCCCTTTTGAAAGTAATAAATGCGTAGTATGGATAGTACGAAGCGAGCCAGATATCTTCCACCCTGCCAAACTTGTCAAATTCTCGCTCTAAATCTCGAATAGAAATAGTAGAGGGTAGACCAGAGATATGGATTCTAGCACTGACGACGCGTCGACTGCTTGATGGTGTTGGAGAATAGGTGTAAGAACGCGATCTGGATCGGCGTGAACGACGACTTCTGCGTCCCCTACTCCTGCTTCTTGATCTGGTTCGGCTGGAGCTACGCTTCCTCGAACGAGAGCTGGAGCGCGAACGACTTTGAGAACGAGAACGAGATTGTGAATTTTGCTCTTCCTTCGGACTTTCTTCCTTCTTCTCTTTCCCTTCTTCTGTTTGGAGGAGTTCGAGCTTCGGCACCCTCACTCCCTCAAATCAAACTTCGGTAAGTACGTGCTCTCTTCTACTCTTTGAAATATCTGGTTGGAAAGAAAGCATTCAGCGTCATTTCTCGTGTCCGTCTTTCGCTTCAATACTGATTATTATTTCCTTCTTGTTTACTGTCACAGTTCAACCACATGGATATCTAAAAATGTTACGAAACATCAGGTCAGCCATGCAGTGGAATTCTTCATCGAGCCGCTGCGCAGAAATGCGCCAAAAACAGTCATCGTGCAGTCAAAACGTCGACATTCCCAATAGAAAACAATTTATTCACTTTTGATCACGCAGATTCATTAACAAGCACTGCTCTTTGGCCTTTGAGGAAACATTTCGATGGTTCTAAAGGATTGAAAAGGCTATTATCAGAAGTAGTAGAACTATACGCTATATCATGGGTCCAAGAACCGGATCAAGAAATTTTCTATCAGCATCCATGAGTACTACCACTTCAAGAAATTCAAAAGCAAACATAAAGCCTGAGCAAAACCATGGTCGGTTCACAAAGGAGAAAACAGTTTTGTGTTTTAGGGATCAGCCCAACCTTTGTCCAGGTAAAATTGGCTCCCAGCATATACTCTATTTTCCACTTCTCCAAAACGGTTACTCATACTTTGTAGAGTAGCTTTAACGAAGAAAACTAATCAAGGAATAGGGGCATTATTTCATAGCCGACAAACAGATCAACGAAGCTCAGCAGCTGTCCCAGCTATAGCTTTAGCACAACAACAAATTTACTCGCAATACGATCAACCCCATCCGAGAAGCTAAAAATAATTAGCGTCTCCTAGCACAATAAAACCAATTGAAAACCAAAAAGTTGAACCGAGCACTTTCCTTCCAACCAAATAATTTCATTCCTACACTTTGTCTACCTTGATTTCTCCTGCCTTCTCAAAATTTTGAACATATTCAGTTTTTACTATTCTTCGGCAAAGAAATCAGGTACTTGCCAAAACACAAGCGAAACTTAAAAAAAAACGTTGCCGGTCTTACCCAGAAAAAAAAAAGAAAAAGCTTAACAAAAACATCGCTTCACCTTATCTTTGCTCACGGTCTTCTCGATTTTAGCCAGGAACTCGTACGCAGCTTCCTTGTCTGAATGAAAAAATAAATTCATATAAACTGAGGGATTATGCAGTCGAAACAACAGACCTTTCTCGAAAATATATTTAGCAATGGGCAATGCGATCTCTACCAGTTGCAAAGCGTTTATGCGATGCTCGAATTCAGAGATAAACCTAAACTCAAAGAAATTGGAACTCGTCGTGCAAGTATTCCCAAAATTTAGTAAGTTTCGAAGCTTACCCATCATAGAACTCCTTTTGGTTAAGTGATGCAGTGAAAGCTGGATTCGCCTGCGCGGATCGTACTTCTTGAGTTAGCTGATGCCACAATCTATGAAAGATCCACTCGTTAACTGACATCATGAGCAATCAGAAAAATCACAAGAAGGGGTAAATAAGGCTAGCTGCACGGACTTTCTCGATATACTTCCCTATTTAGCGCTAACGTTCCGCTTGAAACTAGCAAATGTAACGATCAAACCACAGCTTGTACCTAAGCCTAACACTTACACTTACAGTACCTAACGCTTACAACGACCCAGATTTGTTTGTATTAGGAATTCGCAAATTTACTGAGGCCAGGGAAACTGTAACTCACTTAACGTGGTAAAGTGAGTTGCGCACTCGATCGATATTAGTACTTGCACTCCTCCCGAAGGACAAATACGTATAGAACAGTTGAGTTGCTAGAATTTTCTTTTTGTATCGCACAGAAAGACCGCTTTCTGATCCAATATGAGGAAAACTTGTGAAAAATAAGCCGAGCTTGAGCTTAAACACCTTCAGAGGAGCGCATGACAGAAATCATCAAATTGATTCTAACGGCGTTCGGACTGCGGCGAAAAGAGAAACGAGACTCACTTTCTCGAATATAACTGCTCGAACTTCAGCCAAGAAATCCATAAAATTGATTCTAACGGCGTTCGGGCTGCGGCGAAAAGAGAAACGAGACTCACTTTCTCGAATATAACTGCTCGAACTTCAGCCATATATCAGCAACATCACCCTTTGCCTCTTTTTTGTTCTTTGCTAGATACGCTTCCACTCTTTCGGACATCTACAACTAACTGAACATGAACAACTGAAGGTTATGAATGATTGCAGGTCACATGAACAATTGAAACGGAAAGACTGATAGCAACCAGAATAAACCATCAGAATATACGTTCGGAATAGAAAAACAACGCAAGTTACCAGGGCCAAGATGCTGGACGTGTGGGAAGATTTCGAAGTCATCGTCCGCAACGTTACGTCACATACAACTTGGCAGACGTGATTTCACGTACTGGTAGGGATTTGAACAAATAGTTATCTAAAAAAGGGCATCCTATTGATTCCGTTTTATTTCCGTTTCCAATTCAGCTTCACAGCAATACAGTTGATGCTACATTAAGCTTGATTCAAGGAAATCGGCTTAGGGGTTTGCTAGTAGCTTTCTACCCTCTTGGGTAATCAGTTCATGTGGGATGTCCAACTTTACTCACTCGTTTGTTCATTCGTTTTTTTTTTCTTCGTACGGGTGCAAACACTTTATGTGTAACGAAATCATATAAAATTAGAGAGAAAACAAAGAGTAAATGTCCATGAAAAGGAAAACAACCCCTGGAGATGCAATTAAAATGGAAAACCGTAGAGAACAAAGGCCATGAAATCAGTTCTAGTAACCGCATCATAGCGAAAATTCAAAAAATTTTGTATCGTCTGAGTTTGGGGCCCTCTTTCAGAATGTAATGGACAGTTGCCATGTGCTCCTTACACATTTATTGAAAGTGGCACTTTGATTGTAAGAAGGAATGGTGAAATTCCTGGCTCTAACCTGAGCCCTTGTTTCACTTTTGGCTCGGACCTTAACTTTTGCGTCTACAGAGTCTCTGAATGTAGTACCGTTTCTGTTAAAATTGTGCAGAAATCTGTGGTTTCCGCTACTTTGACAGTTTCAAGTTGTGAAGTTCATACGGGGTCGGTAGTCATTTTTCTAATACCCAAACAGGGTAAGAGCAAGTTCTTGGGACATCACCTAATAAAACCTGAAATCAAACCTAGGTAGAGGAAGGAACTCTCCGAGTAAAGTCATTTTCGCACTTACTCGAACTAGTAATGAACAGTTGCCGTGTGCTTTTTTAAGCGATCAAAAGCGCAGTACCACTTCAGTTTGTGCCTTGTATGGGTCTAATGGGGTTGTGCTGAAGTCACATTTGGAAGGACATATTGATCTCAATGTCTCCCCTTCTAAACAATCCTTTTACGGCCTAATCAACCTGCTGTGGTAAGAAAGCCGTGTCACTCTAGCAGGATTTTGTCTATAGACGGTGAAAGTGCGATACTATGGGACCATTTCCATTTCCAGTCTTCACTTAAATTATGAGAGTTCGAATTTTTTTCATAAAACTCCCATTATCGACCTTGATTTGTTGACACTCAGCGGCAGCCTAATTCAGTTTTTGCTTATCATCAAGCTTATCTTTGTTTGTTTAGTACCAGTAGCCCTTGTGTCGTACATTTTTGTTTTTCCTCAGTTGCTTCACCGCTACCCTTTCTAAGCTATGTGATGGTTATTGTTACTGCTCTTTACTTTTACTCAGAAGAGACGCCGTGTTGTCTAGAGGCATGGCTCAGTATGCATGGCTGCCTCGATTTTTCGAGAATTTGGACAAAGAATATAGTCCTTTGTAGGCGATCAGTGGGTTAGGCACTTCATTCGACATCCATTAGAAGTCCTAGTTGCATTTGAATGTGTACATGGTCTACATATTGACTTGCCGAGGCAAGCCGATATGGAAGTCAACTCTTGCATCCTTCCAGAAAGCTCTTTATCAGCTAACCGATCCCGAAAGGGTGGAGCGATCGGTTGGCTAGGGCGGGTATCGATCGGAGATTCGAACCCGTGGTCATGCGTGCATAACGGTGTGCCATTTTCCACTACGCCACCTCGACCCAGAGAATGTGATTATACATTTTTGATATATAGCCCTCTCAGGTCAACCTGGACAGTTACTAGTTCGTTGAAAGGGGAAATGAATAATGGCGTATTGTACGATTAGTGATCATGATCGCGTGACCTTGACTCTCGAATGGTAGTCCATACGTGAAGGATAGGATCTCCGTTCTTGCACAGGCCCATTCCGTTTTCACGCTTATTTATGTTAGTTTATTTTATATTTGTGTCAGGGAAGTCTTTTTATCGAACCCGGGACTTTTAGCTCAACATCCTCATTACTACCGTTTTTAGGGCATGTCAGTATTTAGAGCCCTTCCTCCTCTCAAACTTGATAAATAGCCTTTTTAATAAGAGTTTTTCTCCGCTTTTAGACATAGTAACGGAGTCTTTCGAACCTATTTTCTTTTCTGCGGATGTCAACTGTGATTTAGGCGCCTCTTTTTCTATGAAGACCGAGTTCTTCATTTGATACCCGACCGTTTTTTCGTTGTAATCAATTTTTCTCCAGATGTTTATGTTAGGCGCTTTTGTTTTTTCTCGAGACAGAGTATTCAACGTCAAATGGGCTTTTGCCGATATTCATTCTCTCAGCGTTCGTTTCACTGAGATCAAGTATTGCCTGCTAAAATAGAAGGGCAACATAATCTAATTTTTTCTCATTTGCATGAATTTCTACAACTCACCCCAAGACTAAGTTGTTCACAACACTTTATGGCCGTTCCAATCACTGTAAGACGTTCGAATGCGTCGCGTTCAGTGGACTGATCGATCGATAATCAGTCTGGTCAATCATAACAGGCCAACGGGAGTCAGGCAGTTGTACCGGTTTCGTATAATCGATTATCGCACGCGGCAGTCGCGGACCAGTTGCATCCTTGCAGTTCTAGCGTTCTTCATACAGATCGATCGATATTCGAGTATTATTTTTAGCATGATTCTGTTTTTAATGCTTTTGTTTCTGTATTTCTCACTCGCTTTTTCATTCTTCCGCGTTTTTTGCGCGCGACGTTGATTCAACTGCACCACACTCCAGACCGACTGTTGGCAAGCCGCAATCTTCCGCAAGATCATCTGGTGGCTCAGCGTCTCCACTTCTACAGCTTATATTGCAAAGCTTTGAAGATAATTTAAATCTGCAAAGGAATTTCATAGGGACGAGTCATCATAGTTTTTAAAGTTAACAAATTGAGATCATGTACATCACAGCTGTAAGACGTCACTGTCACCTCTCGATTTCAACATTGGATTCCATTCAGATTGATGATTGATGTTACGCATCGCTCGTGAGCACTCCCATAGTAAATCAGATAAATGAAGAAGTGAAATCATCGATTTGAACTGAGAGCTACCCTTGAGGGTAGGTGACATGTGTAGTACACCAGACCCCATCCCCTGTGCGCGGAGTCTGGTTCTGCCGCCCAACATAAGTGTTCCCATTCCGTCGCCTGTGCTCCTACCAGTTTGAACTTTCTAGGTCCACGGGAACAGGGTCTATGAGTTTCCGCTCAAACCCCGCCCCCTGCGGGCGGAGTCTGGTCCTGCCACCCACCATAAGTGTTCCCATCCTGTCGCCTGCACCTCTATCAAGTTTGAACTTTCTAGGTCCATGGGAACCGGAGTTATGAATTTCGTATATAAATGTGAATAAGGATGTGAGCTTCGAGGCACATCCCATTGTGGGCGGGCCTCCGCTGACGTCATTTATGCTGGGGACACCTTCGACAATGCTTCGCCTACATCAACTTTTTCCTGCTCTGTTGGCTTTCTCCAAACCGAGTTACAAATGTTTTCATAGAACATTGCATTTTTGGAGAACGCCCGCCCATCAGGGATGGGTCTCCCCAGTTGGATCTGACTTACCAATGCACACCTCTAGCCACCCTCACACCCCAGTTTTGAGGTTGTCTTGTGACTGAATTTGAAACCATGGTCCTCAACACGGCCCATTTTGATGCACGCCACGCCCACTGTGGGCGGGGCTCTGCCAATCTGATGTGTGCATTATACGTCTCGGGACATGGCCCACCCATCCCACGCTTGAGCCGGTCTTTCCACGCAGATCTAACGTAGCTAAGGATTTTCGTGACAGACATACGACAGACAGACAGACGACAGACGAATTGATAGTAAGTAGAATATGCGGTAACTTCTACGCTTCGGATTCGAGTCCAGTGCTTGGCGCACCTCGAATTGATGGATCAGTCGGCTGTTTCACTTTTGACCTTTGGGTTAATCCACAGCATCTAAGGAACAGAGGACGGAGCTGGTGTAGTAGCGATCCGCGCACTATCGCTCACCCATGGTAAATGATCGAACTCCGTGTCGGTACTTGTTCAGGCCAATAGTCTTCCATCGCTAAGGGAAAGGCTAATTGGTGCGACACTTGTCTGGGAGGATAAAAGCACTGACCTGTACATCGGCTGGCCACCGCAAGTCATTATATAGGCCACATACGCATTCAACGATTCTACTACGATTTGAGTCGAGGTNCTCTGACCTGTACATCGGCTGGCCACCGCAAGTCATTATATAGGCCACATACGCATTCAACGATTCTACTACGATTTGAGTCGAGGTCAATGCGGGGGGCGCACCCTAAAAATTGGATTGCCAAAGCCTTTGTCTTTAACTCTTCTAGGAACCGGTTAAATAGTACTTCTTGCCCATTTCCACTCGTGATTTCGTGCTCCATAAAAGTTATGTTTTTCTTGATTACGAGTAAAGAACTATATGCCCTTCCTCGTCCAACATTCCCTCAAGTCTGCTTTTCAGCTTGAAAATCCCTCTTGTACACCTACCTCCTCCTTTGATATCTCTGATTTCACATAGTCGGCCGAATCGATCGAATTAGTATGCGCCATGAACTCAGGCTTTATCTGGGATCATTGGCAAATTTGGAGGCATTGACCGAACTTGTTAGCTTTTCTTTAGCAGTGTGTTTTGGTGTTTGGTCCCCATTTTCCCTAATGGCTTATTTCGGGCTTTGATATCAATGACCAGTGACGTCGGTACTTCCCGTTTTTTCCCACAACATGCACAATTTGCTACAATTTCGACAGGACCGTGTGTGAATGGTTGCGATCATCGCTGGCACTTGCCATCACACTGACATCGATTTCTGTGAAAATTTTCGCTGTACTCCGGTTTCCTCTCCCTTGGCATCGAGTCATTCATCATTCGGACCAGGAAAGAAGGCGTTGTTATGTTGCCGATAAGGTTTGAAGAGAGATGTACAGCCCATGCTGAGAGCGTGGGAATGAATAATTGAGAGAACCATTCTCACCCTCACCAACGATCACAATCACCCCAATACGACTGAGTGACGATGACGCAACCGTCCGTAATCGGCAACTCGGTAGAAGACTTTTTTGGTAGTAAGTTAGCTGTTCCTCGATTTCTTTTTTCTATTGTACACGATGAATTAGTAAATGAGTAACTTTCGTGCGACGTTTTTCTCCCTTTCCCTGTGCCGGTCTTTTGTACGCGGTGATGGACTGGGGGGGGGGGTTGGGACTTGCTGGGTACTTAAGTTGTTTCTTTTGATAAATCATTCACTCGAAACATTTTTTTCCGCCACCTATCCCGAACAGTATCCATTGTGGAGCCCCGGACTCGTAGTCAAACTTGTCCGGCTGATTGGGTGAGCCTTCTTCACAGTTTCATGACGACCGCCGTTAGCCGAGCAGTTTCCGCTATAACTCTGTGGTAGTTCTTCATAAGTTCCGGCTCCTTGATTGGACTAGATCTGTCCATCTGTTTTCGTGATGACATAAGTTCTGTTCAACCAAAAACGACGTTTCTGAATACGCGTCTAGAAGAGAACTGATTCGGCTGGATCTGACAACTCGTCCAGGGATTGACAAAATTATTCCCTTGAAGAAGTCGGGCTGAGGTCTGCTTCAGCATGCATTCATCGCAACCGATGACTTCGTATATTCATCTACATATATCTACATCTCCACAGCTCCGTAATTTTGTCTCTTTTATAGAAACAACCCACTCGACTGTTGCAAAAAATCGGTCGAGGGTTCCCAAGAGAAACCTTTAAGAGTGGGTACGACGTTCCTCTCTATGACCAGGCTTGACAATGAACTTTCCCATTTTAGAATTACTTGATTTGATAAACGAAACTGCACATGAGCGGTTTGTTTATTCATTTGTTGTCTGAGTTTCACTAAGTTTTGGTGAAATCGCTTTTTCGGAGTCTGAAAATTATGCACTCTTACCTCTCACTCTTATCTTGGAAATCATTCAGCTCACTAGATGTGCTAAGCAGAGGAACAGCAGTTTGAACTATTATGTACAGTTTTTTGGAGAAGTAACCCTGCAGTTAACCTGGGTGTATTAACTGATGCTTCTGGTTTGCTTTGATGTAGTCAGCAGCTAGGGAGTTCTCTCATCAGTGGGAAATATTAGGTTGATGCATAACTGTTGCGGTCTTTTTTCAGAAAAATTTGCTTGAGGAAACGATAGAAAAATTAAGCGAAGACATGTTCAATTAATTACTCTGGAACTTATCCACCATCTCCGTCAAGCATTGCTTAACATTTGCTAAGCAGTCGCATTCCACAGGCGATGAAGTTTCGATTCGCCTTGACGTCGGCCATCAAGCCTTCCATTTCGTCGAAAGTTCTCTTCGACAGCCAATTTTTTCGAGGGGTGATTAACGCTACGAACCACGGGAGTTTCTGTTGGTGAGCAGGGCGACCGTAGAAACAGATTCAATTTCTTTTTATCGGCTTTGGCTGACTGTTCCATCGCCGAGAAACTTGTGGAGATAACGTTATGACTGTGCCACCTTCCAACCTTTCTCGAAGCTATGGAGCACAATGTGGCGGATATGCGGATGACTTTCTAGACATATTTCTGTTGAGCAAAGAAAGTAGATTATTTCTGTGAAAATCCCGACTTCAATATTGAAGTTGTATCGGTGAAAAGAAGCGCGAAAAAAAATCCGCAATAATTATGCATTAACCTATTATAACCTGCCTGCCCATTACCAGCTCCCCTTTTCAATCTCCTACAGGCAAGCTCTGTCAACATCGAACACAATCCCTATACATTGGCCATCACAGGTCATATTGCACTGCTTTGTAAAGTTGGCTTAACCGATCAAGGTTAAACGCTCAGTGATTGTCGGAATAGAGGTTTCAAGATCTTCCGATTTCCGAAAATCGGCTGCAAAATGAGAGGAATGCCTACATTCGCAAGCTTCATCCTTAGTAATTCTCTGAGATTATCACTCCAGCACCGACTGAACGGCTTCCTTCTCGGTCTGATTTCGTCTGTAGCCAATTTTCCTTATTGTTGTCGTCTATCAGTAAAAGAATGTACCGGTAATGTACAATGTAAGAGTTAAATTTTGAAGGTCAGTCTGAAGGTAACTAGACCGCCATATCCAACAAAATAATGTATAAGTTCTAGTAAGCGTTAGTATCTATGGAGGTAGAGGGTAAAAGAAAAAGAATAAAAGAAACAAATACATGATTCGCTCCATCTCTTACTCAAACGAATCATGTATTTCGCTAAACCCTTAGGAGTGGGGTTAGCGAAGAATGGAGTAGATGATAGTAAGATGAAAAAAGCTCTGCAGATATGAAAGCCAGAAAAAAAATGAAAAACCAGAATACAAAAATGTAACAAAATGAATATGAGAATGAGATAAGAACAACTGTAAGAAGAATTGTTGGTGTAATAGAGGCCTAAAATTGTCTAATGTGATGAATACCATCAGAGGTCAGACTCCTTAACGCACTTTGAATTCTGAGTGCTTGACTCAGCTATTTGACGTTCATCTAGAAATGCGTAGCCTTCCAATTGATTTCAGGGATTATTGAGGGACATTAACTTTCAGGTCCATCATCTCGACGAGGATCGACTGTGATCAGTGCAATGGTTACCAACGAATTATCATCTAGCTCCCAAGGGTCTCCTCTTTCCGCCGCACCGGAACGGGTACGAAAGCACGGACCGCGGACCACTGCGCTTGAAGTAAGTCCTCGCATCCCACTTTTCTGAGTTTTTTCTCTAAAAGGGCCAGATAGTCAATCCGAGCTCCATAATGGCTTCCAGTCATTAATTATGTCTAAGTTATCGAAGCTAGAATGAAGTAGTTCATTTTTTGAACCCCGAACGAGCCGGAAGAGCCCTGTGAAGCATGAATACCAACTATGGTCACTTTTGAAGATATTTTTGAGTATATGAGTATTTAGGCGATATCCGAGGTCGACTTGACTGGCCGGACCATTCTAATCACAGGTACCACTTCTGGAATTGGTACTGAAACAGCGAGAGCACTAGCTCTCAAAGGAGCGCATGTCGTCATGGCAAATCGGAACATTGTGCTGGCCGAAGCGCTAAAGAACAGGATACTCGAGGAAAAGGTGAGCTCGTGATCACCTTCCTATGCTGATCCAGAGCTTCTATAATACTCGAGTGCAGTAATTGTTGTGATTGGCTGGAATAGCCGTTCGCCAATCACATTCATTGACAGTGCCGCCCCCTTGCAGTCGTGAAATCGTTTGGAATCTTGTCAAACTTTGCTTTTTACCGTCAGGTCTAGTACTTTCCCTATTGCTATCTCGCCCTTTAACGTGATCTGTGCACTTTTTTGTTTCTTTTTCTGAATCCTGCTGTTCTCGCATGATGTTGCTAAGAACAGCCTTATTTTTTGAGTGAACTGGTTCTATTCCTGACTGCCTGTTATCTCAGCAGCCAAATTATTCTATCCTGTTTTGTTGTTTAAAATTTTCCCCCTCTTGGTCATCCCATTTCCTCACACTTACTACGCTTCCTCATATGTAGATGAACGATTCTGAACGCTCGAAAAACAAGCGCGGTAAACGTTTTACTCGGATTCTGAGACTCTTCGTAACCGCATGCCCTGTGTTTACGTGCTACATTGGAAACTGATGTAGTTGACGAGCACGTCCCTTCATAGTTGCTCTTCAGAGAACTGTGGTTTCAGGGACGTTTCCTAGCTGTCAAATCATATAGAGAAGTATGTTAAAAGTAGTAGGGTTGTAAGAAGAAGATGGAACGGCCCGAAATTTCCGCAGTTTCCTGAGGGATACATTACTGCTGGCCTAGATGTGTTCGAAAGGGTCTTACGGGATGCCTTCAAAGTTGCAGCTCGCTTTGATGGACGGTCAGTCGATGGACGTAACGGTAGTGCTCACTTCGAAATTCGATGGAAAGGGTGTTTTTTGCCGTTAACCAATCCAATTTTGGCCGACGCAGAGTGGGCCAGCCGAAGTCGGTGCTTTAATCGTCCAACACCGTTCTGATGCTAATTCACCGATCCCACAGAGATGAATGGCAATGTCGGACCAAGTTGTCTTCTGCCTTAATTCTTTTCGATAAGACAAGTTAACCCGAAATTCCAGTTGTGAAGCTGTTAAATCGAATAGTGCCAATGCTTTTGAGGTGGTACCAGCATGTGAAAGTTCAACGAGACTCCAGTTTTTCAAAGTGTTCTCATTTGTTACCCAAAACAAACGAGAAAAGTGGAGCCTATTTGCAACGGCGACGTTTTGGTCTCTTGACAATTTTCCTGGTTTCTACTTCACCTCCAGCCCACTTACAACTAGGTTTTACGTGGTGAGCACCGTCATATTCCCATTGAAAGATGAAAGAACAATACAAAATCTTTGGATGCTCGCACGTAAATATATGGTCGCTGCAGATTTATCCCTAACTCATTATGTATCTCGATCAATGACTCTTCTTAGGGTCGCAGTATGTCTGTAGTGTGCGAGCAGTCGCGAAGCAGTTTTTGACAGTGTATCTGTTTGGGTGAAGTACGACTGTGCCCTATCTGACAAATTTGACTGCTATAGACGTTCAAAAATTCTCATCTTGAAATAAGGTACAATTGGTTTTTTATTATTCATGTGTTGAGAGACTTATGTTACAGCCGGATGCCAAAATCGATATGATCATGTGCGATTTGAGCTCGCTCCAATCTGTCCAAGCTGCTGCACTGGAGTACAAAGATCAGCACTGGTAAACGTTTTCCCTAACATCATCAAATTATTTCCCTGAACAATCCGTAGTGTGTTCCACCAGAGTTGTCGCGAGCGGTCGCCGAAGATTCTAATGCTCAGGTGTTCGTTCTAGGATCTCATTCGACTCAGAACTTGTGCATTCCTATTTGTCGGACAAAGCGCCTTTTCACCTCACACGCTCCGCGACCGCACGCGACAGCTACTGCAAGTCTCATCCCTATGGTGATATAGATTCGAAACATAACCAGGTTGAATAATTCGACTTGGTCCTCTTCTAGAAAGTAAGAAAATCTGAACAACCAGTAGTTGGCTATATCGGTAAGAATTTTTCATAATCAGTGTTCTCGACCTTTCTTCAGGCCCCTTCATGCCCTCATACTGAACGCTGGTGTATTCTGGCCACAACAAAAGATGACGATAGATGGGTTGGAGACGTCGTGGGGTGTAAACCACGTGGCTCATCAATATCTTGTTCGTGAACTTCTGCCTCTTCTGAGACAATGCAATGCGAGAGTTGTTGTCGTCTCGTCGCATTCGCACAACCACACCGGAGTAAGTGTTTATTCAACTCAATAGTGATACACGATCTTAGCGGCTGTTCTTTCATCCAAGGCTTCTGTTACGGCCTTAACTAACTAGCTCATTTTTCGTAACAAAAATTGCGTAACTGGCTCGCACGCTTATGCAGCGCGCCCATATGACGTCATTATGGCGCTCGCCCAGCGAGACGCGAGCGGTCGCCGTAGTTGTGCTTCAGTTGAAACTAAGAATTCTAGTACTTACTAGAAATTAGAAGAAGGTTTAATGGTTTCTCGTTAATTATAATTTACCAAAGTCCCTATATAGCTTTCTAACGGCCTATTCTGCCACTTTTAATTTCCTCATGAAGTAGACTGGGCCACTTTGCTACAGATTGCCTGTCTTCACGAAAAACTCTCTTTTTTTCTGCTCATTCCCCCATTTTCTCAATTCAGCTGAAACCGGAGATGTCTACTGAAGAGAAGCTGGAAAAGCTCTGCCCAACTGAAAGCGAAAACGGCTACAAGTATGTGTCTCTACTTGACACTACAAAATCTTTTATCCAGTATAAGGGGCTTTAATTAAGGCTTTATGCATATTCGAAACTGTGCAATGTTTTAATGGCTATGAAACTGCATCGTGATGAGCACAAACACGGCATATCGGTTTATGTACTTCATCCAGGGACAATGATCGCAACAGGTATTTCTTGATTATGATCTCGATATTAATGAGATTGTCAGGTGTAAGCGTAGTTCAACCCCTTCCAGTATGCGCCCTGCATTCCACTGCTATCTGTAGTGGAGATATTTGATTGCACTTCATTAGTTGACAGCGAAAGTAGAAGCAGGGTACGTGGCATAGAATATCAAGGTGTCTGGGAACTTCTCCCTAAAGACGGCGTCGCGCACGCCGCACCCGCCGCGTATCGCAGGATTGCGATGGCAGATTGGAGCGCGCAATTTGTGAGGTAGGGAGTCCTTTAATTATTTGAATTGGCTGACCACTCTCTTCAATTTCAATGCAGTCTTGATCGTCGCCAAATAAAACTGAGAACGAAATAGAAAAAACGATCAAATCTAATTGAAAAGAAGGACAACTAACGAAAAATTCCGCGTCCTATCGATTGGCGGGGAGGCGGGGGGAGTATGGTAGTTGCAGTGACATTAGCCGCATGCGGCAAGTTAGAATGCCGCAATTGGGGAGAAGTTACCCAATGTCAAGCATCCCAACGGTCTGGAAAAGTTTCGTGTCGAGGGACCCACTATGGTTTTATGGAAACTCAGGTATACATGGGCTGAATTCAATTTTCCATATTTCCACCTTTCCATATTACAGCAGGATAAAGCAAGTCAAAAGTGATTA